CATGGATGAGGGAGGGGCACATATGAGGGACATATGAGGGACAGGCACAGAGAAATTGGTTCAGCTGGGGAGAAAATAACGTCCCTTCAAAGTTTTACCATGAGGCTGAAGGGGGGCAGGTGCAATCCAATGTATTAAACCTTAAAGGAAAGGGGATTTCTATTTTTGGGGGGTTTTGTTTTACCTTGAACACTTGAGGTGAACTAAAACAACTGACTACACCCTAACCTCTGTAGATTTTAGTGTAATACTTTCTACGACCTACATTTGATACAGTAGGAATGTCCTTATTACAGGGAGAAACAAATGCATCGATCTCATTAGGATCTTTATCACACAACCTATTTTGACAGATATTCTTGGTTGCCCTCTGTTGAACACTTTAACGTTTTTGAGATAAAATAGAGTTTAACCAGGATTGAATGGTTTATCCTCACATTTCTATAATGCAGCTTGATAGTGATCCATCACTCCAGTTGATAAGAGGTAGCAGCTCAGAAAAATAAAAATAGAGATAAACTTGTTCACAAAGGATCTGTAAATGTACTTGAATGAGAGTGATCTGGCCATAGGATACAAGGGCTCCTCTCCTCCTTGCCAAGAATCTGAAATTACTTTTAAACCCCTCACCAGCTATAACCTCTCCTGAGCAGGGTGCTGGGAAGGCAGGAGCCATGCAAGCTGAAAAATACCTCAACCCCTCTGTTTTTGCCATGAGAGGGAAGTCAGTGGAGGCTGGTGCCATTCAAAGCAGGGAGGAGAAGGCATCTTGCCCAGGGCTGGTGTGACAGTTGAGCAGTGACCACAGAGAAGCCCTGGGATGGGAGCTGGGGATGAAACAGCCCCATTGAAATTATAAAGGAAATAAAAAGGTCCCAGGTAATTTAGTAGTAAAGGAGCATTGCTAGTACCCCTCTGGGCTGCATTGAGAGAGGATCTATGCCTACATTAACACCAGCAAAAGATATTTAGCTCATTAGGAGCAGCTGGTTTTGTTTAACCTGAGAGTACCTGCTGTGGAGCAAACCAAACACCCCCATGTCATTTACACATCTTTCTAGGATATGGAGAGTCCAAACATCCTGAAGAGATTGTAGCCTGAAATACGGTACACCTTTATTCTGCATCCATCCGTTCACCATTAGTGATATTTACTGTTAAACGGACAAGGAGTTTGGATTTTCAATGACATGGAAGGCCAGGTCTGCATAAACACAGGTGACAAAGGAAAAAGAAGGATGATGCTGTCCCCACATCTCTCATTCCTCTGAGAGTCTTAGATCTCATCCTCCTCCTTTCCAAATCTAAATTTACCAAATGGCCTTAGGGCATATAGGAAAAGAGAAGGGAGCACACAAAAAACATTTTAATGTTTTCTACCAAAGCAAAGATTTTTGCTTGGCACCTGTTCAGATTGAATATCAGATGGCCCAGCAAGTGATCTATATTTCATGCCATTTTTAAAGATGCTCAGATCCGAAGAGAATTAGCTGCCATCAGAATGGACGATGACCCTTTTCGTCTCCTGGGAGAACAGACACTGTGAAGTTTTCATTAGATATTAAAAAAAAAAAAAAAAGGAAAACAAAAACACATACGTACAGCGTGGGAATTGAAACTCAGGCTCCAGCCGTACTAGTGACCTTGCTAAAGACAGTTATTGTCTTGTGTTGTTGATTCTCCAGAGGTACATGCGTTTAAAATGGTGTACAACCAATAACTATTATTGTTACTCTATTTTTTACTTTGCTTTTTTGTGTATTGGATCAGAGAGTAGCAACATATATAAGTAAAATACATAAGGGATCTGTAGTCTGAAACATGAAATTGTTATGAAATTGAAAGTAACATCATACAGGCATATACCAGGAAAGATGTGCTAATTATCAGCACATGCTTTTTTTAGTTGAGAAACTAAGCAGAATGAGGGATCTTGTTCAAAACCTTCCTGGTCTTCAGGTCTTATTTATACAAGTCACTGTGGCCTCATTCCCAAACCTCAGGGTTAGCCCAGGAGCTTAGCCATTCACATCTCCTTTCACCAACGTGGTCCTGGAGTACAACAGAGAACTTAGGATGGTGGATAACTTCCCTAAAGTGCCCATAAGACACCAAGAGGTAGTTATGTCCCTGGGTTAGGTGCCCTTAGGAGATGCTGGAAATTATGTTTGCAGCTCTGGGTCTTCATTTTTCCACACTTTGGTCTCCACCTGTAAAATGGGATGAAAAGCAATATTTTTCCCCATCTTTTTTCTGTCTTCCTTGCTAAGATTGTAACCATTGCAGTGACAGCCCTGCCTAGCATCTTTATCTTTCTTAAAGTATATGGCAAAAACAGCATATAAGATGTATTAGAAAAGAGCCTCATTTTCTCAAATACATGGTGCCAGGTTTGTGTTTGTGTGCTATAGAAGTAGCAAAGGCCAAACCTTTGAATAGATAGGAAGCAGTCTGACTTTGGGAAGAAAAGGACGGACAAAATGACCTCAAAGCAATTCAGCATCTGTGATTTCCTCAAATTCCATCTGAAAGCTTGCTCTCTATTTTGCTGACATATGAGCTGGGTGTCCTATTGCACATCAGTGTAACAAATAGCTGTTATCTTCTGTTTCATGGGAGCTACAGCAGAACGTGATTTATTTGTGCCTGCTCTGGTGCCTCTTTTGAAATGTTGTCGTCATTCAGTGCACCTTTTGCAGAGGAAGGCAGATGGTCATCTCAAAGTTTCCCATAACCTTGCTGTGTGTGCTCCGTAGTGAATCAATGAAACCTGAATTGCAGTCCATTGTCAGAGTTTGGAGCTGTGCTGCTAAAGCATCCTGCAGTGGTTGAAAACATTTGAATGTCAACACTGCATCTATACTGAGGAAATATGACATTTCTCCCTAAAATTTCAAAGCAGTGCCAAAAGGGATTTTTAACTGTGCTGTGTGAGCAGCGACTGCATTGCTCAAACCTTAATTACCAGCCTGGAAATGTACCTTTTGTGAATATGTGAGTGTGAGGTGTGACCTCTCCTTAGGAAAAAGAAAAAAAAAATAGAAATAATGAATCAAACAGGATTCTAAGCTGAAATACCAGACACAAGGAATTTTTGGAGTCCAAACAGCACCAGCTGCCCCTCTGTGCTACCTGTCTCTGCTTATATGACATTTGCAATGAGGCTTCAGGTGATTTGAGAAGCTGGCATTAGACTGCAAATCACCTTTCATGTCAGCTCATGCCAGGATACCTTGCCAGAAACTATTATTTCAGTGGGAAATAACAACTGGGAATAGGGAAAAAATGAACTTCTGAAAAGCACTTTGTCACATTCCCTGGGCTGAAAACAGTGAGCACCTGCCATGAAAGCAGGCATAGACAGAAACTTTTCAGTGGGAGGATTGCCTCCTTTACATACAGAGGCAAGACAAAGTGAGTATACAAAACATTTTCAGCACTCTCTCTCAATTTCTGATGTTTATTTGCTCTATGAGCAGACATGCCTGAAGACATCTATGTTTCATAAAGCCTGCTACCTTGCTTCACTGATTTTTCCTTAGGATGGGAATCATTGCAATGAATAGGTCTGGCATTTTCAGATAATGGCCTGCATGCAGCATAGGTATTTCTAGAAATGGTTAATGTTGAATATAATAGATGTTATAAGTGTCTCCCCCAAATACTTCTGGACTTTTACAGATGACTGCTTCTGTGTGTGTGTGTAGGGCAGAGCATCTCCCAAATTCAAGCTGTCAGTCAGCTCATTCCCATAGCACATCTAGGCAGAGTGTGATCTCATGTGAACTTGAGGATGCAGTATGTTTTGTACATTAACTGGCTTGAGAATTTTATGGTTTTATTAAATAGAAGAGGAAAGAAATCTGCAAACTTATAAAGCAATTTACAGGGAAGAAAAGGGCAAAATGTTGTTACTTGGTGTGCAACAAATATTTAATCAATGGGTTTAAACTTTTTTGATCAAAGGGATTACTTGTGCTAGGACATTCTTATCAGATCTACCGAGTTTTCTTCCTTAGTTTGCAGCTGGGCTTGATCTTCTAATCCACCAAGCTTCCCCTGTCTTGGAAGGGCACATCACGGTTCTCTTAGAGAACTAGAATAACCAGTGGATTAAAAGCAAGGACCCTCCTTACAGGACTTTTCTTACTAAACCTTTCTTACAAAAAGAAAAAGCAGCATCTAAATCATATCAGAACTCTAAAAAAAAAGTAGTCTGCTCATGTAAATAGATGGAGCTGATCCTGCCTGCACCTGATAAGTCCTGGTTGTAGCGGAGTCATTTATGTTCTAGCACACACTGAAATAAGTGAGACCAGAGCAAGATTTATATTCTTGAAATATAAAAAACAAATCCTGGCTTAATTGAGATATAAGTTGGATTCTTTACTCTGTGCCACTGACATAAATCCATGAAATCTCAAATAAACACTTCAAAAAGTCTGATTTTCATTGCATTATTACAGAGCTAGAATAGAAATTAAAGGGTTTGGATCTGTCTAAATTTACATCTATATACTGAGGAACCGGGCCTCATTTTCTGTACATTTCCAACTTCTTAAAAGCATCTCCAAAGTGTCAGGAAATCACAAATCTTCCAGAAATTGATCTTCATTTCAAACATTTCATACTTCAGTAACTGAGATTTGTTGCTCTCTGTCAGAGTTAAAAGGTGGAAAAGTGCTCCTCTCCTGCAGGTGAGGAGCTTGCATGCTGCATTCCAGTCTCTGAACATCTGGGACCGCAGTGCGTGTCTGAGCAGTCCCTGAACTGCAGCACAGAATTGCAAATGACTCTATAATGAGTAGGGAACAGAGCTGTGGCAGGGAACAGGGATGTGTCCCAAAGCCCACTGAAGTGAAGGGCACAACTCCTGCTGACTGCAGTGGCCTTTGAGTGGAGCTCTTGGCATGTCTGTGAAAAGAAGGTACAGTCAAAAGATATCGCTGTATCATATCTCAAGCAGGATAACCACATGCTCATCTTTTTCACTTTCTCAGGATGGAAGGAGCAGTTTTATTGGCCACCAGCTCGGAGGGGTCATGGAAGTGCCAAACAGCAAGGACCAGAGAGTTAAATCAGCCAGAGCCATCCAAATCACTTACTACCTCCAAACGTATGGCTCTGTCACCCAGGACCTCATTGGGGAGAAGTGGGAGAGTGAATTCTGTAAACTGATGCACAAGATGCAGCTAGATCACCAAGATCTGCAGCTCTACTCACTAGCATCCTTCAGCCTCTGGAAGGACTTCCACCAGACAAGTCTCTTGGCCAGGGACAAGATTTTGGTGAGCCTGATGCTGATTCTCCTGACTGCTACCCTATCGAGCTCCATGAAGGACTGCCTGCGTAGCAAACCTTTCCTGGGACTCTTGGGAGTACTCACTATCTGTATTTCCAGTGTCACTGCGGCAGGGATATTTTTCATTACTGATGGAAAATATAATTCTACTCTGTTGGGAATCCCTTTCTTCGCTATGGGTAATTATTTATCTTCATAATAATAGGATTAACAGAGTTTAATGACAGGATTATAAATTACATCCTGGGTTATAAAGTGCAGATTCTACCTTGAGTGAAATTCTAAGTAATTTTCATCCTGTTAAATTCTTCTGTGCCTTGCCAAAAAGAAAAAAACACAAAAAAAAAAAAAAGGAAAAAAGGGAAAAGGAAACAAAGCAAAGCAGTAGCAACAGTAAAGAGCAAATGATGTTGCTGGAATCTCAGCCAATATGAGAGAGGGGCAGTTTTATTGATGTCTTTTACAAATTGAAGGAGAAATTGTTATTGAAAAGTCGTCCGCTCAGCATAGAAAATGGTACATGTTGACCTGACTTTGATGGGAGGCCAGCTGAAAGAGTAAGTTAAAAGAGGAGGTTGCCAAAGAAGGGAAGATTTTAGCACTCTTCTGAGGAGGGCTTCTCTTCCATCTGTGTCTGAGGGCCAGAGGGGAATGGATTGGTATAAGAATAAGATTGATGGACTTTATCTCGTAGAGGAGATTACTGTTGCAGTGTTTGTCAGGCTGTAAGCAAAGGGGGCTGTCAGTATATGTAGCACATAATTCCTTGGTCTGTGAAGTCCCAGATCAGCTGCTGAGATTTTGTATGTGTTGTAGCAGGGCAGGGAAAGGTGCAGCTGACGAACAAACATTAACTTCAGCTTTTTTTTAGCAGAAGAATTGAGTTTGCTCTTTCTGCTCCTCTTTCTGTTCCAAGCACCTTTAGTGCATCTGTGTGGTTAATGAGTTTGCTGGGAATGTCCATTGGAAAGGAAGAAGAAAATGTGCCCAAACCAGCTTGCTGAGGCAGTGCTTTCAGTGCAATCACATCCAAGCTTATTAGAGTTTCACTGTATCACGAGTCTGAACCCAAGCAATGACTATGCAAAATCTTAGCAGTGGCAACCCAAAGACCCAAACCCCTTCATGCTGGCTTTTTGATGGCAGAAAATCTTACCTGTGGACAGAACTCTGCATCTTTACAGTTAATTTCTTAAATTCCATTCATGCTTCTAGTACTCAAGCCCAAATCCTGCGCTTACAGTAAGAGAACTGAAAATGCAAAGCCACAAGTTAAAGTCAATGGTTGAAAAAGGGTCTTATATTTTTCTTAAAAATCTCATCCTCCCAAAACCCTATATATTCTTTCTCTTACTCTCAAGAAAATTCCTGTCATATATGCATCCTGCCTCCTATTTTGTCTGTCCCTTGATAATGCATCCATGTCACTAACCAAGGGAACCCTATGCAATCCATACAGGCCAGGAGCATCAAATGAAATGGCAGCAATATCGCACTCAAATTATTCATACCCTACAGCCCAGGATGAAACAAGGTTGGGAGTTTCTGAAAGCAGGGTAGCTCAGTTTCCCATCTAGGATGGTGGTAATCTAGGAGTTTGTTTGCTGTCCGAGGAAAAGTAATATTTATAACTTTCTGTTGTGTTTTGCGCTGTCATTCCTCTCACAGCCACTGCCAAGACCAAAAGAAAATAAGAGGAAAAAAAAAAAACCCTCTCTTGAAGTGAGTTATTTGCAAGGATCTTTTCTGTAACATTATATTGAATGATATATTGGAAAAGAAAACATTTAGATAACTCTTCTACAGAAATTTCAGTCAGGAATCCCATACTGAATTGGTCACCAGCTATCATTAGAGAACAGATTGCAATGCCTGGGAGCTGCTGCTGGTAAATATTAGGCAACAGTTTTAGAGTTTGGTGAACTAAAAGCCAGGAAGTATGTCTTGACAAAGTCATACTGGGTTACATCCTGCAAAGTTCCATGTGTCTTTAGTCCCTTAAATGACTGTGCCACTTAATGAGATCTTGCTCTGCCTGTGATATACCCAGGGTGTCATAGACCTGGGCTCCCTGCAGGGCAGGGATTTCTATTTAACCTGGTTTACTGTGAACTGATCTGACACCTTAGCATAGATCCAATGAAGATCCCACAACTGGTAATTCTGTGGGTCAATACATAACTCTTGGCCATGTTGTACCAGTGTACCTTGTTGCTAGCACAGCGGAAAGCAAACAACACATCAAATAATGATTGAATGAATATAAATTAAAAAGTGTACAAAGTGGGGTTAACCAGAATTGCAAATGCCAGATTTGCAAGTCAGCCTTTCAAAGTCGAGTTACTTAGACAAAAATAAAAAATAAAAGGAAAACCAGGCAATAACAGCTACAAAGTGCTTACAAGTTCAATGTATGCAGAACACACAGGCAACATTAATTCTGGAAGATCCTAGCTTTGGAACACTTCAACCTGACATTTGCAAACTGTCCATTTAAAGTATATTTGTTTGGTCAAAAATATACAGTTTTCTCTGACATTCACTTTTCAAAGGATTGATTTGAAATTCTGTGATGTTCTCCTGCACTTGTCCTTTTTTTTTGCAGTGATAGCAGGATGCTGCCGTCTGAATGACAGGAATAACCCCGAATTGTACAAATGTTTAGGTCCATAATTCCTCTCGAAGTGCAGAGATTCTGTGGGTTTCAGTAGGTGATAAAAGCCTATATAAAAGTGAAATACTTATTTTTTTTAATGAATTTGGACTGAATGACCTACACATTAAGTATTTACTGTAGTCCTGCTGTGAGGGAATGATTTGCTGGGATAAAGTATATCTCTGATATACTAGGTGTTAGCTCAGATTGGCTTTTCTCTTCTTTATCCTGAAGGGGTAAAACTTCAGTCTTAAGTTAGGCATGAGGACAGTGGTAGAAAATCCTGCTTGTTCTGACTTCCTCTTCCCACTACCACAGTCTTCTCAGACACTTTCCTCAGGAAATCCAGTTTCCCCAGTACAGTATCCACCACTGCATTTTTGGAGTCAGTGAGGAGCAACTCTTCAGAAAGGTCCTGTGCAAATAAATCTCTGGCTGCCAGGATCTGCTGCAAACAGGAACAAGATGAGTTATTTTTTAGCAGTTCATACCCCATACAAATGAATAAATGTGGTCAGTTAGGGAAAAGGTTCTTCTTTAGTTTCAGGGCTTCCTCCTTTAAGAACTGAATTGAACCTAGACATATAGTTTGGGGATTTTTTAAGTTAGATTTTAGTAGCCACCATATATCAGAATATGGGACAGTTCTACCTTACATTTCTTTTCTGGGGCAAATATAATTTGCAGCCTTTTCTACAAGTTTGACACCAGCAGAGCTATCACCACTGATGTGTTTCAGGCAAGAGATAGATAGAGGGTCAAATAACTGAGTTTCAGATTTGTCTTAGATATCAGAAATGGCTAGATGTTCACATCTGCCTTTTGTGTTTGGATTCACAATGCAGTTTCAAAGGGATGTTATGTACGTGACATAATTATGGTTTCCCATGCCTAATCATCATTAATTAATATAACCAGAAGGTTAACTACATAATTGAGGTATTATTGCTCCCATGATTTGCTTTTTAATGCACAGGAGCCAGACTGATATCATCAGAGAGATAATGATTTAACTCAGCTGAGGATCTGACTGTGTATTTTTAAATACAGGTGCATTATTTATGTCATTTTACATTGTAATTATTTTTGGCCAGTCCATGATGTACCTCATTATATAGATTAGTGGAAATCTTGTGTTAAAAATTTAAACACAGTGTAATTAGAGTGTAATTATGCTTTTTGTATTATAATGTGTATGTGTTTCTTAGAAGGCTGGATTGACAGTGGATGTGAGATATATTTCCTGCCCTCTGTAAGTCCGGACCACGAAGACCTTCATGAGAGCAGCTGTTTGTCTTTCAGTCTTTAGAGAGCATTAAGATCAACGGATGCTCTACAACATATTGTACTGTTGTTATTACTACTACCAGTAACAATACCATTACTACCTGAGTAGTAAAGAGATACAAAATATTTAGGAAGAAACAGGCTACCTGTTTCCAGGAGTAACTTCATGCCAGATGTAAGAGAGCAAGATGGATGGAAGACATTTTAAGTGCAGACTTTTGTGTTAAAGTTTCCAGTTATTCCTTCCCCTGAGGTATTCAAATGGAAGAAGGAAGCAAAGTAAAAGCATTCAAGACTCCAGGAAGCTATTAACATTTCAAACAGAAGCCATCTAATCTCTTTCCAATAGCAGTTGTTAAAATAATGGCTGGTGATCACCTTTAAGTAAATTTAAGATGTGGCAGTATTAACATTAGTGGTAGAGTTGTGGGAAATTCCAGAAAAAAAGTCCTTGCGCAGATAAGGAAACTTTTTTTCAAACCGCAGAAGACAAATGTGAGTGCTAAAGTGCATGCTATCGCTAGTTTACCTGTACATGAAGTATCACAGTATTTCTCACCTTTACTTCAAGCAATGGACTGTCTGATTGCAACAGCAACTTAGAAATATTTCAGGAGTGACTCTGACTTTGGTTTTGTCCTTTTGATGCAGCAGTAAAGGAAATCCCGTATGAATCTCATGTTATATGATTATCCTCTATCTGTATGAGAAGCGGATGACCCTTTGGAGCATAAAGACCTACTGACATAAATTCCCACCATATTTACAAATGCAGCGGTTTTGTCATTTTAGGGGTTACAGCAGTTCTTGTCCCTACCATGCAGCAGATCATTAAGGTCTTGGAAATGCCTTGTCCATAATTAGAAAATGTCTGTTCTTGACTGTTACGATGGGAAATGGGAACAACAAAAAAACCCATGGGGAAGCAGGAGATATACAAAAGGTTTAAAATTACCTGTTTGGGTGGAGAGATATGAATATGAATTGGTTTAGATATTCTTCATGCTTGTAAAGTTGATTTCCCTATAATCTGGTAACCCTAGCAAGTCTATTGCCAGCTGCAGAGGGCTGGGTTTTTTAAATATCTATAGGAAAGCCTAACATTCCTAGAACAGTCTTTCCTGCATTTTGTGTAAAACACCAGAGTCTTCAGGGATAATCTAATACCCTTACACCATGCAGTCTGGCCCTGCAGCTGTCTCATGGTATCTGTCATGATTAGGGAGAGGCAAGAAG